CTGACACGTCGACACTGGATCCTGTGGGTAGTATGGTTTGTGGGGTCGGGCGTCTATGAATCAGCCCTGCTGTGGTGCGTGTCGCGGATGCCCGATGAGATTTTGATCTCTGACGTTTGGAGGCCGACGCTTCGGGCTCAAATCCCGAAGCTGTTCCCAAGCAGCCAGGGGCCACCTTGTCCTGCTAGGTGACGACACAGCGTTCACAGAGGATGGTGCTCGATCTGCAGCGAGGTTTAGGTGGGCGGTACGTGTCAAAGTGACATCCAGGACTCAAGGTTTAACAGCAGAACATTGAATTGGAATGAGATGAGCAATGCTATTCACTTGACCTGTCGGTGGTTTTAATATTGTGGCTGTTGGGTATAAATATATTAGTATGTGATAATGTGCTTTCTGAACTCTGGTACATTACACACACGTCTAACTGAGTGCATCTGACATTCATTTTGTCCATCGTGAGTGGGTGTGTACTTACAGGCTGCATTTGTGTGTGGGTTTTTTTTTGTTTGCGCGCATGCTCAGAACTTCAGTAGGATTATTTCTCCTCTGTATTTGCTGCCGGGGATTCCCAGGCTGCCCCAAACAATGCTGGATGTTTTTGTTACGCAGGAAAGCTGCTCACTTTCCCCCCCCCTCCTACCAGCTTTCAATCCATCTGTTCCCTCCGTGGCTCTCGCTCTATCTAACTCACTCAGTCCAGCGGAACACAGATGCATTTGTCCCTTTTCCATCTCAGTGGAAGAAACACAAAAATCAAACCAATAAAAATCCTTTTGTGACACGCTTTTTACTCCTGGAGGTGAATGGCTTTGTGTTGTTGTTGTTGTGTGTTTGTGAGGGTAGCTTGTTGTACAGTTTTGCATCTCTGCATGTCTTGTCTGTACGTGATTGCTTCCTATTATTCCAGCCACCTGTGTGCTGCTCCGACACACTTTCACAAACAGTGGGCGAGCCAGCTGCCATCCCTCTCTTGTCCGAGTTAGTTTCCGTTTAGCGTCGCGGCAGCCGGGACTTTTTTAGATCAACGCTCGGCGCAACACAACAGGACATTGTACCTTGTCCGGGCCACCAAGCCGATTGTTACTCAAGAGCAAAACGTGGTTGTATTGATCCACTCTGGCCTCCCCTGTTGTTTCAGCTCAGCGAGCAGCGCATTGGAGGGAATGTTTGTACAGGAGTGAGTGATGTACGGAGTGATTTAGAGCTCCCTCCAGGGTAACGGAGGAAGAGACGATTATGATAGCAGACATTTAGAGACATGAATGAAATAAAGTTGAGGCTGTTAATTGATTTTTAAATGGCAGCAATCCTAGGAGATAGAGCAGAATAGCTGCAGTGACTAAATTTAAGTTTCAGTGACTCATTTTTTAAACAGCATCATCAGTTGCAGTGGTAGTAGTGGTGGGGTGGTAGCTGTCCTTGCTTTCATGTGCCATAGCAATGACATGAAATGATTCTGAAGGTGGAAGTGTGAGAGCAAGGGTTCGGTCGGCTTTAATCTGCAGGAGCAGCACAGAAAACTGAACACTCCACCTCTGTACTAACAGATGTATGACTATATGGTTTGACAGAAATTGCCAACGTAATTCACAATTGTATTTTTGTTATTTTACATTTTCAAATGGCATTACTATGAGACATGAAAAAAAGTTTAGAAATAACAATAATAAAAAATATTTCCCTTTCATTTTAGCTTAGTATTTTTATGGAAATGTGATAGATATATTGGTTAATGAAAAAAAATGAGCACAGAGGATTTGTTTGACTATTTAAAAAAAAACAAGACTTATTATTGCGGTGGATGAATAATCAACTAACAGAACACTTTTATTGCTGTAGGTACTTTATTGACAAAAAAATTGTCTTTTGTAAAAGAAAAAAATAATTATTTAAATTACAGTAGGACATATTTTATGTATGTATTATTTTTTTTCATGTGTTCATGTATAGAAATGTGTGTGTTGAAATAATTTAGGACACACAGGATTAGAAACATTGGCACACAGAGCAAAATATAGGGCGCACACACACACACACACACACAGTGTCTTCTGTTAGCTGGTATATGTTGTCCCTGCCAACTGTGCTTGGCATGCACATTAGAGCACACACACACACTCTCTGATGTCTCAACATGCCCCGAATGCCGCACTCCTGGGTGGGGGGGCGGAGGGGCCGATGGCCACAGGGCACGGCCGGAGGACATCTCAAAAATCTGGCCAAAAAAAAAGAGAGCAGGCGATGTCATCAGTGACACTCTGTGCGGGAATCGTTCCTTTTTCGCGGCAGGCATTTTGCTTTGTAACCACAGGCGCCGCTGATGATATTAATAATGGCCGCATTCCACGTAGGTGTGTCAGGGCCGCGGCGTTGTGCATGATTACTCACCGGCTTGCCTCACTGGAAAACAGCCATTATTAATGTTATTTGTTACACTTGTGTTTTTCCTGCCATGACAAGCGAAAATGTCTGCTGCGAGAAAGGCCTTTTTCTAAAAAAAAAATTGTAGCTCAAAGTAGGGAAGCGAGGGGGACGAATCACAGTGTTTGTGTTTGTGAGGGGCGAGGAAGAGTGAGAGGCAGTATGATAAACCACCTCCAGCTCGACATCCCAGTGGGGTACCTGCTCCATTCTCCACTCTTCTTTGATCGCATTACCCGCCATTCCACTGAATCAATACATCAAAGCAGACACGCAGCCGCTTCAGACACATCTACAGTACCGTACGCATATGTCTACCTCTTGTCAGGCTTCAGATAACCAGCTAAGGTGATTTGAAGCGTGTATTTGTCATTTGACTCTACGAAAAACAAAACGCATGTTGCTGTGACAAATGCACGCTGGATACGTTGTGGAAAAAAAATCCTCATTGGACAAACTGTGTCAAATCCGGAGGATGGAGGTTTTGATGTATTCGATTGTCGGCGTGTGTCTGAAATGCTGAAATGTCGAACTGCTTTTCACAGTTCAAGGTGCTGTGGTGTCTGCTGTTCTAACTCATGTGTGTGACTTGTGTAGGTAGGGGCCCCGGTGAAATGTCCAGGTGCTGCTGGAGATTCTCTGTTTAAAGAATTCAGACTTTCAAATATGGACAGAGAAAACTGACTGAACCAACCTGAACAAGGACTGTGCAGGTTAAAAATACCGTCGACACTACGTTGGGAGTCGACGCTGCTGAGGAGCTGCAGTATGATTTATGTCCTCTTTTACATATATTTTCATAGTATTGGATTTTGTTCTATCATATTGTCCATCCATCCATCCATTATCTATACACCGCTCAATCCTCACTAGGGTCATGGGGGCCTGGAGTCTATCCCAGCTGACTCAGGGTGAAGGCAGGGGACACCCTGGACAGGTCACCAGTCTATCACAGGGCCACACTTAGAGACAGACAACCAAGCACACTCACATTCACACCTACGGACAATTTAGAATCACCAATTAACCTCAACATGTTTTTGGACTGTGTGGGAGGAAGCTGGAGAACCTGGAGAGAACCCACGCTGCACAGGGAGAACATGCAAACTCCACACAGAAAGATCCCGGTGCCCCCACCGGGATGCAAACCGGCGACCTTCTTGCTGCGAAGCAACGGTGCTAACCACTGCACCACCTTGCAGCCCACTGTCATATTGTAATCTGTGATATTGATAGATGATGTTTATCTAAGTAGTGGTAACATTTTCTTTGGAGAATTATGTTCTGTTACTGGGTAAATATGCAGGAAGCTCAGATGTTTCCTTTTCGTTGCCTAGGGATACTGGGGCTAGGCAGGGATAGGTCCACTGGAAGGGGCGGTGGGTCGACCAGCCTGAATTTGGACGTTGTTTGATTTTATTTTCTGAGGTTTCCATATGTATTTGCTTAAGGTATATCTCTGTGTAAATGTTTAAAGAAAATTCCTTCTTTTTAATTGGGTTGGAGTGCTATATGTGATAGGGCAGAGGGATCGTGAGAGAACTTTCCCGTCTCGATTGTTTGATGGAAATTTCAGGTACGATAGCTGACTGATGGGTTTTTCGCTCTTACACTCCAAACGGTGTTAAGATTATGCTATAGTAAGGACATATGGAAGGAACTGTTATGTGTTACTTCTTTATTGAAAGTACAACATGCAGACACTATTTCTGAACATTAGATGGCCTGTACCTGTCTAGTTCTATTTCTGTGTAATACTGTGTGAGGCATACTTTAAGCATTGTACATATGAAACATAATGTCTAAAAACTGAAGTGTTATTAGGTGTGGAGTGGTGAAATAATAATAATGATAATAAAATAAATCAGAAGGTAATGTTAAACTGAAATGTGAATTTGGAAAAGTGTACATAAATTATATATATATATATATATACATATAGAAAATGACAATTTAGGCAAGCGAATAGAAAATAAACTCACTCATTTTGTATTTGCTTTTACTTCAACATGGAACCAAATGATGGGGATATTCTGTTTGGGATTTGCACACGTATGATGGATTTCTTTTTAGATGTAATAATGTTGATTATGGATTGTCAATGGATTTGTGGATTTAGGTGTGACAGGCAGCATTCTCTTGCATTTCCCATTTCCCCCCCCCAGTTTCAACTGGCCAGTCCCTCAGGCACCGCAGTCTTTGTCACCAAATGTCACTTCTGATACACATAGAATTGATGGTGAGCTCCTTTTTAGCTGACAGCGAGGAATTTCCACAGGAGGCTGTCACTTACGGACACTTTGGCACTTCAAACCGAAATGATAGGAGCTACTAGTGCAGTCACAAAGGCATAACCTCAAGTGACCGACTCTGAACATGGCTCAGTGAGTGCAGATTGAAAGAAGAATGATACTAGGTCTTCCACGGTGAATGTCGGGTCTCCAGAAAAAGGGAATCAGATAGAAACAGCCCTGCCAGGACATACAACTGTGTTGGGTAATAAATAAAAATAACAGAGGAGTCAACTTACATTATATTTTTTAATATATTTTCTATTTTTTTTCTCTCTCTCTTAGGTGAGGAATGATCTGACCAGTGAGCTGGAGAAAGCAGACATCCAGATCGCAGACACAGAAAGTTTCTCCAACGATCCCTGCGTCAATGTCAAAAAGCTCAAGGTAAGAGATTTAGATACGTAGATTTGTGTTCTCAGATACATCATGTGATTATTAATTGTAGCGTCACATCATTATTATTATTATTATTTATTTTTTGCTCATGCATTTTTTTCTGTATTTGTGTATCAGTTGATCCCCGTCTGAAGTAAATCCTGCACGATTAATATTTTATCCAATAAATGTCTCCCTCTGTGACTGGGCAGAGCCAGCCAGTTCTCAGTGAGACTAGCTCTAATGAGCACACTGTAATGACTGGGAGGCCTGTACAGTGACCTCTAATAACCTGCTCTGACTAATGGATGTTTGATAAGCATTTAAGCATATACATACACACACAGGATTTATTATTTTCCCTCCTCTCCTGTTCTCTCAAGTGAGATGAGATAACTAAATTAGACCACTAATAGATCAACATCGAGGCCTGTGCATATTTATATCATATACAAGGTTGCAAGTTTTGCTGGAAAGAAGAAATAAAAAAAAAAATAACCCTCCTATTATCTTTGGGGCCAGTTTGACCCCATTCAATGTTTAACATCTCTGAATAAGTCATTGACATCATTTTTTCAATTATATTTAAAGAGCTATTCACACATGAACTTGGGGAACAATTTTATTTATGATATTTCTGGAGGTTTAAATTGCTGAACCCAAGGATAAAAGAAAAATAAAAAGTAAATTTGAAGGTAGTAGCACAGGCTTTATTATCCAAGCTAGCCGGTAGCTGTTGAGCTTAGCTGATAACCGCGGCAGAAATGGCGCAGTAAGGAAAAAAGAGTGGAGAGTGGGAGATGGATATTTCCTTCAGTAGAAGAAATGACGTACACAACAGGAAGCAAGTTGAAAGGAACATGGATGAGAGATGAGGAGACAGTGGGATAAAGAAGGAACAGAAAGATAAGCCGTCTTTCCTGGAATATAACTTTGCATGTTGCGCGCCGACATTTTAAGCTGACACCACACTTCCTTGATCAACTCGAAATATGCAAATGCACAGTGTCGCCTCCGAGTCTTTTGCACAACGTTTGGATGGAGCGGGCAGGGGGCCCTAATGGTCTGTTTCCCGCTCATCACGCCAACAGTGGTTTGCTGCCCCCCCCTCCCCTCCGACAGCTACGTAATATGACGAGGTAGAGGGTGACACAGATTTCCAACTGAAGGCTGGTCTTTTTTTTTTTAGTGCACTGTTATGTGTGTGTGTGGAAGTGAACGCCAGGCGGGGGAGGGATAAGGAGGGCCGTGGCGTCACAGTGCGATCCACAAATAGAGCACTCACATCTGCGATATTCCAGCTGAAATATTCAAAAAGCAGACAGGCATCACTGCTGCGGGGCATTGTAGCAGCCCTCCGCATTCCTCTGTCGCTTTTTTTTTTCTCTCTCTCTCTCCATCTCTTGTTTTCTGTCCCAAGTTCCACATTTGTTACCGGACGGGCTGACAAAACAGTATCTCAGAACAAAAGGCAGGCTTACATACCACACTCACACTCACACACCTACACTTCTTTGACACTTTTAGTAACAGTTACATTCATTCTTCCTCCGTCTGAGCATAAAAAGATCGATCCTAGCAGGCGGTTTATAGACACATTTTTTTGTGACTCAGGGCCAGTTTAGGACGCTTGCTTTCAATGGAGAGCCACATGAGGGGGAAAAAAATGTCCTGAAATCTAAATTAAGACCAAAACACTTTATTATTTATCATAACTTAATTATTTATTATGCATTCAGAACTCTTGCCCCTCCAGTATGACACACCAAGGGATGGTTCATTTCTCTTTATTTTGTGCCTCACTGATGCAGCAGTTTTTGCATGACAGAGTGGCCCTGTCCCCCCCCCCCCAAAAAAAATCACAACTTAACCGCATTCATGGTTTGAAAGAAACACAATGAAAGAACTGTGTTTTCTTCACTGAAATTTTGAGGCTTGCTTCAGTTTAGGCACCAAAATTTGGATTAAAATGCGTCTCTTTGTGGTTTAAGCTTCTCCTCCGTTTTTGGTCCACTCCCATCTAATATATGACTGAAAAGGAGCGACAGTAAAGCAATAAAATAAATGGCAAAGGCATGCTGATTTGAAACGTATTCGTAATCTGTCACGAACAAAAGTAATCTGCCAGAAATTCCCTCGCAGCATGATTGAGAATTGGTTGTATAGACTGACCTCCGTTCATATGACATGGCTGATTGGTTAACCAACTTAAGCTTCCCCCGTTTAGTAACCATATTATTGATGAAGAAGTTATTCCATTTTTTTTCCAGCTTCCCCACAGGTTGTAAATCTAGTTTTTCTCCGCTCTGAAGTCTGACATTGAAAAGTCGGTGGCTTGAAACCGTTAAATTGGCAAAATACACTTTGACTGGAAAAGTCATTTCTCTAATATCAAGTAGTGATAAATACATAGAATAGAATAGAATAGAAAAGAATAGAATAGAATAGAATAGAACAGAATAGAATAGAATAGAATAGAATAGAATAGAATAGAATAGAACAGAACAGAATAGAATAGAATAGAACTTTGTTGATCCCATTGGTGCAAACCTCAGGGAAATTGTTGAATATCATCACGTCATAGTGGAAACCATCCATATCTACGACCACTTTAACCTGTTCAGTGCTGTATGGCGATTACTATGTCATACTGTATAATGCAATAACTATTCTCAGATTTAACGTGCTACGTTGTCTTGTGGGCCTCAGCTCAAGACAAATGGCATCATTACAAGTTTGCCCATTTCATAAGGTCTTTTATTGATACTGGGGAGGCTGATAAAGCACCTCTGTTGGTCCAAATCCCCAAATAGCACAGAGCTGCAGCAAGAGTCTCACAATGAACCCTGAGACCTCCTCACATCCAGCGTAAAGGATCCAACCACAGCATATTCTACTGACTGTACGCTCTGGTGCATGCTGATATTGGACACTGAAGTGTTAATTCTAGCTTAGATAACAACGCAAAATCTGCAATCATATCCGTGTGCTCACCCAGAAACAATTAGTACTGACACGCTCCTATAAATCTGTCTCGCCGGCGTATGTATTTGGTCATGCAACACACACATGCTGCACAATAATCATTACAAACAGATGGGGGGATGGTTGTAGTAGGTAAGCAACATATTGCCCAGTCTACAAATCACATCTCCCACAAGCTCGTAAAAGAGCATCATTAGTGCGGTGTTTGTGTGCACGTATGTGTGCGTGGCTAATAAGCCTTAAAAGTGCCTGATTGGGCTTATGAGGTGCAATATTACTCAAATCATTATCACGTATAAATCACCATTACAAAGTTACAAACAACCCTGTCACGGGTAAAGCAGTCGAGGCTGCCCTTAACACTACCCTCTTTGAGAACAATTATTGTTCCAGTTATATAAAAGCTCGAGCAACGAGGGTAATTTGGAGGCCCCGTGGTGCCCCGATCCATCTGTAACGCACTAACACAACACATCCGCTCATGCCCTTGCCCGCAACTACGCCGTCTTTTCATGTTGTTGCCAGGCAGGCTGGAATTTCAACCGAGGCTGCGGCCCTCGGCCATAGCTGGAGTCATTTGGGTTAAGTGCCTTTCCTTCAGGGAAGAGCAGTGTTATTGAGCAGCCGCTGGCACGTCTCTCTCACACACTTGCTTATACGTACACACCAGCACGCGCACAAAATACTGCAAAAGTGCACCCTGGAAGAGTTCAGAGCTGCTACCTGCCCTTCTTGCACATCTACACACATGCACGGTGCGATGGTGCCAGAGCAGTGAGAGTTTTATACAAAACACCTCTTAAATGTCCCAGCATGCTCTCTGGCTCTCTGGCTCTGAAGCGAAACCACCGGAGCAGACTTTTGACTGAGCTGCTCGATTTTCTGAGAGCTCTCACCCTCTTTAAAAGCTCTCATCTATCTATCTATCTATCTATCTATCTATCTATCTATCTATCTATCTATCTATCTATCTATCTGTCTATCTATCTATCTATCTGCCCCCTCTGATATGAGGATGCATGACATATGGTAGAGATTGCCTGAGGGACGATTTGAACTGTATTTGTAATGACTTCTCATTATCCAGAATAACGGCAGGATGCCATAGTGTCACTGAAATCACAGCTGTTGTTAGTCACTTTGTTTCGTTTTTTTAAAATGCAACGTTCCTTTAATTTTTCCTTACGACACAAAAATAAACCCGTTTAATGGAGTCAGCAACACCTCCGAAAGGTTTTCATGTAGCAGAATTTTCACCAAGTCATTAAAAAACCGAACCAACAAATTCTTAAATTTTAAAGGTGACAAAACACATCCAGTAGTAAGTATGTTTTTCTAAAGATTGAAAGACTGTTGGTGACTTTCTTAAATTAGATTTCTTACATATGGGGAACCTGACCCACTCTGTCGGTCTCTCTGCGATGCAAATTTCAGCTTTGTGACGGACTCTTGTCAGCGCATCACACATCACATGCAGCCTTGGTGTCCAGATATGCATACAACAAACCCGTATCGGTATTATTTGATCACATCTGAGACGATTCTATTGTGCGTGTTTTGAGTCTGTTTGATCAGCCGCCGGTGTACATATGCATCCTCTCGGGCCTGTGCTTGTGTTTGTACTATACATATGCGTGCGCTCACAAAATGGCAGAGTCTGATTTTTTTTTTTTTCCCACCACCATGAAACGCGATGAATTTCCACCCAGGCAATCTGAATTATTTACCGAGTCAATCGCCAGGCCATGTGCTCCGAATCCCCATGCAAATTTGTGCTCTCCAGCCTGGCTGGCAAGCAATTCTGCCTGCTGACACTGTCTCTGTTGTTATGAATTTGATATTGCCTTAGTCTTTCAACTACTGGTTTTGCCACTCAAATCCCACTTACCTTGTAGCTGCTGATGAGATAGACACAGCAATGAAATTACAGTGCATGCAACATTTCTGATTCGTGCCATTTGTGAGCACAGTTTGATGCGACGGCAGCATCGCACACACAAGAAAACCCATCCTCAAGTAGATGTTGTTTTTTTCCTCGTGGCTTTATAGCCTCAATTGAAGCCGCAGTGTGAATGACATAAGACTTCCCTGACATAATGCCTTACATGTTTTGCAATATTAAAGCCAGGAAGTCACAAGGTCACTATAAAAATAAAAAAAAATGCTCCATCCTGACTGTAGATTATTACAGTTTTATATCAAACAAACTGCACGCTGCGCCGGGAAATTTTGCCATTTAAGTGAATACATTTTTCTTTTTTTTCAGGACAACGATGTGAGAATTATCATCGGCCAGTTTGACGAGAGCCTGGCCTCCAAAGTCTTCTGCTGTGTAAGTCGTCTTTCCCCACTCGGTTATACATGAAAGCTTAGCCATCCACTTTGCTGATGCTATGTATCAGCGTCTTGCCAAATTATATCTTATAAAGGGCTTTTGTTTAAAATACAGTTGATGCCGCGCTGCTTTGAACACAAAATTGGAGCATGAAATGATCTGGCTTATGGGATTTATTTGGATATGTAATAGTAAAACGCATTGTGTCTCACAGTGTGACATTTACGTCCAAAGCAGACAGAAACTCATTTTGTCCATTTAGAATTAGGCCTCGATTAATTTATCGCCAAATTGTTTGGCTTCACATAAATTAGACTTCAGATAGTTTGATCTTATTTTGTGTTTTACAATTGGGGGTCTAGCGGGGTCTGGTGTTCTTTAATGAGAGTTTTTCAAGGTCAGCTGACTAAAACAATCAGAACAGACAGCAGATCATATTAAGAAAGAGAAATTAAGCATTACTTTTAAGCCTACCTGCTGCTATGCTCGTTCATCTTCTATTTTTATACCCCTCTCCTCCTAGGCGTATAACCTGAACATGTTTGGCAGTAAATACCAGTGGATTATCCCCGGCTGGTACCAGGGCAACTGGTGGGAACAAGCCAACACCACCAACTGCACCACCAAGAAGCTGCTCACGGCCATGGAGGGATACATCAGCGTGGACTTTGAGCCGCTCAGCGCTCGACAAATCAAGGGCATCTCTGGCAGGGTGAGCGGCACTCCATCACAACCTGTATACCTCTAACTGTGCATTTCATTTGGGTGGAAAAAAAGTAAAAAATCTTTGACTTTTGGAGTTGCAATTACATTACAAAACAACATAGTGACGGCATTTTTTTTAAACTTCTCTTGTGCTTCTCTTTCAGACCCCTAAGGAGTACGAGAGGGAGTACAGCCGAGAGCTTCAGCAGAAAGGCGTGGAGGCCAGCAAGTTTCACGGCTTTGCCTATGACGGGATCTGGGTCATTGCTAAAACCTTTACTCGAGTGATGGAACTGCTCCGGATAAAACAGCGGCAAAACGTCTACCACAACTTCACCGTGGACGACCGCGAAGTAGGAAAATTGGTGCTGGACGTCATGAACGAGACCAACTTCTTCGGTGTTACGGTAAGTTGTGATGCACTGCTATGTAACAATAATCGGACATTTTTTTGGAATGAAATGAGTTTATTTTACTTCAATCACCTCTGAACTGTGGGCGCACCTGCTGCCCACACTTAGCTGTCACATGCAAACACAAGGATAGACATCAAATTCTACAGCTTACATGTAGGCAAAGGTTTCTTTTGTCTTATTATTAGTAATGCATATGAGTGGTTAACAAAAATAAAATACAAGAATTCAAATCAAACAACAAGGACAACCAGACAAACAAATGGGGAAGGGATGAATTGCTTTGGGGGTGCATGGGGGGCTATGAGGTGTGATGTGTGTACAGATTGTTGGGTGTGTGTGTGCAAGGGAGTGTGTAAGGGTGTGTAGTGTTGGTGGGATTAGTTAGCTTTTTCAGGGTTTGGGTTTTGACGTTGAGTTGTGATTGGTTATGTGATCTTTCAGGAGATTTGTCCATTGGTTGATGTGAATTTTGTGTTTTCCAGTTTATGAGAATGACTTTTTTGGCGATAATTAGAGAGACAAGTAGGGGTTTTGGGTTATGTATAGGTAGAGAGGTCACCGAGGAGACAGAGGGAGGGGGTTAGTTGCAAAGGTTTCTTTTTAATCCTATACAGGCACAGACACTCATAAAGCGAAACACTACAAAATATCCAACTACTGGTTAAGAAGTGAGTGATTCAAGTGCTGAACTACAACAGTTCATGCATGGAAAGGCTGTGTATTAAGTAATATCTGTTTGTGTGGAGCGGAAAGGTGTCAGAGCAGCACAAGAAGGCTTTAATCACTGCTCTGTAAAACTGGAAGCATGCTTGCAAAAAAAAGGTTACTTAGCCATCCTTGTCTCTGAATGAAGCCTAAGGTGATGTCATTTGGTGCTACAGACTCACTTCACTGCGTTCAAGATTGATCCTGGTGGCTATGCTAGCTGCAAACAATGTGTGTGTGTGTGTGTGTGTGTGTGCTCGCTTTCACCTCCTATAGAGCTGTTACAGGATATCTTCTGTTCCTCCATAAAGGCCACTCTGTTATTAGAAGATGCCACGCTGCTCCCAGCCTAGACAGCCTGTAGGCATGCAGGGCCTTACAGTACAGCAGGACATTTGTATTATATCATATGCATAATTGGATTTACAAAAAAAAAAAAAATGGCCTGAACTCCAACTAAGGAAAAAAAAAAAAAAAAAGAACGAGCTCGAGCAAGAGGTACATTTTCAAATACAGTACAGATGCCAACAGAGCAAGGAAGAACTGACTTGTGTTATCGGGAGGCCCTTTGTGACTCATGTTCCAGGGGGTATGTATGCGTTGCAGCACTAACGAAATCCTACGTCATCATTCCTTGTCCCCCCGCTCTCACCTGTCTCAGCACAGAGCTACTCAGGGCTGCTGATTAGGAGCAGCCTGACATTGAGGCTTTCCTCAGAGACTCGAGGGGGGAAGCAAAGCATTGCAGGAATATCGATGGGCCTGTAACATTTCATTTTTATTCGAGGCATACGGAAGATGAAGTCTTGTTATGCTGCTTGAGAGGGCAAGCAGCCTTACACTCCTTTTTCATGTGTTTATTGACTCACTGATCTTATATATGTTGCCGTCTCATTTACTGAGATGTTTTATTTAAGTAACTGTATCGCATTGTAAAAACAGCATTCAATTAATCAGTGATTTCAGATAAAATTACAAGTAGTAGTCATTTATTTAAAAAATTCTAATCTAATCTTTCAGCATATTGTAATTTAGGTGGTCAGAGAGCAAACTAGAGTTCTGTTTCAGGCTTTAGGAACTCCAACTCATGACAGGAGACTCCATCCAATCACGAGTCTTTTCTCCTGGAGCTGATGAACACCTGTTTCGGATGTTATCAGCCCATTAAATTGCCATTATCACTGCAGATCATTCCCATATATACGGGCCAATAGGGACCTTCTCCACCTTCTAGTAGACTCAGCAGGCGTGTTATCACACCATTTAAATAGAACTCCATCATCACCTCATTAAATGGCAGTGGAGCCAAGATTTTTTTTTTTTCTACTTACAAAGCATTAAAAAAAGTCAACATTAGAAGTTGGACAGGTTGTTGGTGGTCTAAGTTTGGGCCACTACACCCGGTCACTGCATTTAACATGTTACAAAAGCTCCATTTTGTACATTATCAGAATGATGAGACTTTACATGCACTTTCTGTAGTTACAGTCTGTTTATCGACAATCAGAATAGACGGTAGCACACATTTTGGCCTAGAAGGTGGAGGAAGTGCCTGGTAGCACACACGTATTGGAATGGTGTGTGATGATAAAGGCTATTTAATAGGCTGATAATCAGGCGAGGCGAGATAGTAGAAACAGCAGCAAAATCCGCAGCGAAATGAAGATGTGAAGATTGTGCACATTTGGTTGTTGGGTGTTTAACACAGACAGGGGAAAAAAAAAAAACCTGCAAGAGGAGGACAATTTCATTTTTAAATTTGGGATTTTATTTTTTATTATTAGTCTATTGCCTGTAGCAGCTTTAAGCAAGGGAACATTATGGCTTATTTAAGTGCAGTGCTTAAATATGCAGTATTACTTTTGACTTAAGGGAGTTGGGTCCTCCTTTTGTCAGTGAATCCCATGAATCCTGCTGCTTTTTATCCCTCAGACTCGCAGTCACGGGGTAGTGATGAAACGACGTAAACGGTGTAGAAACAAGGAAACGACCCACTTAATTTTAAGGTTGTAAAGAGTGCACAGATTTTACATAGAGTCTGCAAATACTGTCTTGGTTACAGTATAAATTGTCAGAGTAGCTACAGCAAATCTGCATACTCTTGTTTTGCTGATATCCTGGAAAAAAAATAAATCTATTATGTACAGAATATTCTTCACCCAGCTAAATTCCTTTCATAATGATTTACCAGGGACAATCCTCTGAAGAATAACGAGAGCCAGAATACTGTGCACACGGTAAACAATGTTAGACAGCGGAATAGCAGAATAATTAAATGCATCTTTGTACCGAAAGATTTAAGATCTGTTGACTATTATGGCTGTTCTTATAAGGGATTACATGAAATGAGATCAAAAGGCTTCCCTGTATGTGGCACACATTTAGCACATAGAAACTTCCACCCACACACGGCGAAGACATAGGGAGGCAATTTCCCTTCTACACGGCATACATCTTTAATGCTGTTTTCAAAAGCAGCTATTACACAACTCGCTTGATTTGCTGGCGGATAATATTGGCTTGACAATAAAATTATTCCACGTGCGAGCGCCAGTGAAATGGCAGATAGTGGCTGCTTACCGATCGCATCGTACCCTCGCTCCAGCCTTTCCTGATGTCATGATTTTTTACGCCGCGTGTTTGCTGCGTACGCACATGTCTCCAGAGACCGAACCGTGTCCGTTCTGTGCTGATCTCAGTCCTGCTGCTGAATCAGTAGCAGAGGCAGCTGCAGCAACAGCAGGAGAGTGATCATCGCGGGCTCCATAGTATCGATCCGGCTGCTGTCAGGGCCACGGAGAAGAAGGCTGACATTAGCTGGGAGAGAGAGTTCCAGGGCGTAGAGAGTGCTGCTAGAGCCACACGACGGTGTACGCTGGAATTCAGTTTGATAGGGAAGAGACCTGGCAGATTGTGATTGTGGAGGATGACAAGTGTGTGGGTTTGTTGTTTTACGTGTGGTCACTGTGTTGGTATCGGTGTCTTTCCTGGGAGTGGTGAGTAGCGCGCCCTGAGGCCTGACAGTCGCCTCAAACAGAGGTGAGAGAGAGAGAGAGAGAGAGAGAGAGAGAGAGAGGTCGGGTTATACGCATCTATCTTTAATTTGTGGATGAGTGTGAGTAACAGTTGCATTCACATGAAGCCCACCGTGAAACCCTGAAAAACCCCAGAGGACGTCACACCTGCAGCCCACAGACTGACATCTCATTTGACCCCAGCACTCCTGTCACTGACAGTATTCTCACCTCCGCAGACAAAGTGGTACACGGACGCCTCCGCCATCTCACCTCCGACAGACACTTTCGCACACACATACATGCCTAGACACAGTGATTGCTCCATCAGCCACCGCGGTGACACAGGACCAAGCGTCCTTTGTAGATTAGACGGGGGACACCTGTCTGGGGCAGTACTCTCTGGCGAGGTTGCTGGAGCTGCATGATAGCATATTGTACAAAGAGGCTTTACAATAGGTTCTTAATTCAATCTTTGTAGCGTGGGCATTTGTTTCCAATTAAGATTGCCCGAGTCAGCGCCTCGGCATATGCTTTGCATATTCTACAAACTGTGTATACACTTGAGAGAACAAATTGGGTGCTGTTAAGACAACTGCACACAATTTCAGTAAGGTTTGTGATAGTTCCACTTTTGCTGATGTGAAGGGCAATTATGGTGGTGGTGTAAATGCAGAGGGAGGGCATCTGTAGCATGCAGCTACTTTAGAAACGTGGATACATAGACTCAGAGTCATTATAAGGTTCCCCCTGTTTTCAACCCACATCGTCTGACCCTATTTACGCACCGCAGCTATCAGAATGTAATACCTAATGAGCCGAACCGAGGTACACTGTACTGTCCTACTTACGCGTCAGCCACAGTTGCTTAGCATATTGTCGGAAAGAGTTGCGTGTGACAAAAGGAACTTGTTAGAGTTGACGAGTCAGACTGACTCTGTAGTGTGAAATTGGTAGCAGAGGATGTATTTGTACAACCAGCACTGGAGACGGCGCGTCCCAGAAGCAGCTCACACATGTATACGTTATCAGGGACGCATGCGTGTACATCGGCATAATGTGACACCAAATGAGGGGCGTATGCACAGACACATATGCATACGCACACTCAGACAAACATCAAAGATGCCACACAAAGACTGGGATTCAAACAGAGGGGTGGGATCCTGCTCTGCTACTTCAAAGCTTGCCATCTTTTTGAGGCGAAATTGGTTCTCCAGCTTCCTCCCCTCCACGCATATTTCGCCTCAGCTGTCTTTTAATCAGCAAATGCAAACTATCTATCTATCTATCTATCTATCTATCTATCTATCTATCTATCTATCTATCTATCTATCT